GGGGGAGGGGGGGGCGCGGCCGGAGGCTTTTTTGCCTGGGGCGGCAAAAAAGCCAGAGCCGGCCCTGCTCTGAGCACTGACAAAATAAAGTACAGAAGCTTTTTTGCTCTCTAAAGTTTTAGTCCGATGGGGTGTTAAACATCCACAATGTTCTTTGAAGTCAATTGCCATTGACGTGGTCAAACTTAACTCCCCAGTCCTTTGGTTCTCTCTTGGCCCAAACTGCCTTTGAAATCAGTTGGAGATTGGTTGAATAGTGACTGCCAGTCTTTGAGAGATTGTTCAAGTCTGGAATTGCTTTAAGGGTTCAATTAAAATATAGCAGGTGTACAATCGGTAGGAAGTAGCTTGCCATTAATGCATTCAAAATAATGTAGCTTTTCATGCATAGAAATGAGAGAAGTGTTTTGGCACTAAAACAAATTCAGTTTTTTAAACATTTTCCCGGAAGTTGAACGTAACTAATGTACGATTACAAGCATAAGCATTATGCTACTTCCCTCCACAGGTTCAAATGAACAGCTTTGTGTTCCCTAACTACGAGCTCAATTGTGCATGATAGGCAGAGCCTGAGTAAAGGCCGATGTGGAGGCGAACTGCCCCAGGGGGAGCTACATATGGCACAGTGCCTCCGAATGCTGCAGCATACATGGGGAGCACCCCATTATTATGCCCTTCCAGAGGGGTAGTACAAATTCCCCTGCACGCTCAGAAAATATTTAATTTTAAAGGGGGGAAACCACTATTTGCAGTGAATTTAATTAAATTTAATTACATTTTTGGTTTTCTTTCAACATCAGAAGTAAGAAATCTATAGGAAATAGACAGATTTCCTACTAAATTTTAGGCTTTAAACTAGATTGGCGGTGTTTCTAATAAAAATGCAGATTTTATTTTTTACTCCAAATTAACATCCCTTACTTTTTTAAGCATTTATTTATTTTTAACCTTGTGAACACATTTGTCTCTTTAAATTGCTTCTTCTGTGTGAAACATCATCATTTAATTTTAGTCTGGCAGTTAGATTTTCTCCTTTTACTCTCTCAAATGGAGGAAACTTCAAAATTTTGTGCAGATTTTATCTAGGAGTTCCCCTTCCCCACTCCAGGCTATTACTAGGAGCACAAAACCTTTCTTTTCTTTTCTTTTCTTTTCTTTTCTTTTCTTTTCTTTTCTTTTCTTT